GCGTTGCACAAACCTATGCCTAAACTACATTTGTTCATCATTTTGTAACAGTTTATAACGTTAGTTTTTATAATGTTAAAAACGTAGTTTGCACGTTTTGTGCAGTCGTGACTGACTGAATGATTGCAGACATTCAGCACACTTAAGCTAGTTGTAAATTACTTTGATTTCAGTTCGTTGTGCTGTTGCAATGCTTTAAAACTGTGTCTGTTGTTAGTTGTTTTCATTTAAATACAACAGCTGAAATAAACTTGTATTTGTGAATCGTTGTTTTTATCTATCCTGGCGTGATTGTTCTTAAACTGTTAGGCTTAGGCTGTATTTACAAAATGAATAGGAATCTAAGCCTAACAGTTTAAGAACAATCACACCAGGATAGATGAAAAACGATCCACAAATGCAAGTTTATTTCAGCTGTTGTATTTAAATGAAAACAACTAACAACAGACAAAGTTTTAAAGCATTGCAACAGCACAATTTTTAATATTCCATTAAACCTGCTGAGATACAAGGAGCGTGAACTGAAATTCTCAGTTCCACTTGGTTCCATGTGCATGTCCGGGAAAAGTATGAATATTCATGTATGCTCCGTCCACTGAAACCGAAAATCTTGGAAACCGAAAATCTCGTAACACCGGCCGATCACCGATCCGGGCCGATCATGAGGAAAATCGTCCGATTCCGATCCCTGGCCGATCGATCGGTGCATCTCTACATTTTTGTGTTACTTGAACTCTGTTATGTATTAGATTTTAAATAATAATTTTATTTATTAAGGTGCTTGCTTTTTCTCCTTTCTGATAGACGTTGGGATAAATGGATGGTTTGCGTTGTTCTCCGTTTTCACCTGTTATCTCTTTTTTTTTAATTTATTTTTAATTTTTTTGTCTTTCTCTGTTTAGAGCGTGCAGAGCATGGGCAACACCAAGGCAAGACAGCTGTATGAAGCTCATCTCCCAGAAAACTTCAGACGGCCGCAAACTGACCAGTATCCTTGAGTCTACCTGTGTTTTTCTTTGTAATTCTGGTTGATGGCCTTTGCCAGTTATTTGGTAAAAGTCATCAAGAGGCTGAGTTCAGTGTGTGGTACAGATGCATTCTTAGTCGTCTGCAGAGGATTGACATGATTAAAGTGAATAATCCTTTTCTTGGCGCTAGAAAAGACAAATTGTGGATTTGTTATATTGAAAGAACTGTGTGTTTGTGAGTTTATGCAAAGTTTGTCCTGTTGCGTCCTACTCTTTTCTTGCTGCTGCCAAATTCACAAACTATCAGATTCTGTAGCCAGTACTAGCAACTTTTTTTCTTGTAAGCAACACAAAAGGATTTAGAGTATCTACCACTTTAAAAACATTTAAAGTTCTACATGTTGGGTTGTCTTGTACATGGATAAATGAAGATATTCATTATTTGGTTTTAAAATTAATAATAATGCATGTAATTGTAGGTACACTAAAAAAGTGCCGTCATCGAACTCCACTGAATGTTTGTGCTTAGTACCATTGATTTTTGCACATACACTACATTTCAAAAGTTTGGGGTCAGTAAGATTTGTTATTTTTTTAGGATTTATTTAGCAAAGATGCATTAAATTAAAAGAGACAGTAAATACATTTATAATGTTACAAAATATTTCTATTTCAAATAAAATATTATTTTGAACTTCATATTCATCAAAGAATCCTGAAAAAAGTGTATCACAGTTTTCACAAAACATTAAGCAGCACAACTGTTTTTAACATTGATAATAAAAAATTTGATAGAACACAGAATTATTAGCATAATAAAATGATTTCTGGAGGATCGTGTGACACTAAAGACTGGAGTGTAATGACTTATGAAAATTCAACTTCTGCCACTGTCATCAAATTAGAAACTGTTATTTTAAATTGTAATTCTATTTCGCAATATTGCAGTTTTACGGTATTTATCAAATAAATGCAGACTTGGTGAGCATAAGACTTCTTAAAAAAAAAAACAATCTAACAGACATCAAACTTTTGATTGGTAGTGTTTTTAATAACTGTGCATACTATGAGGTAGGGCTGCACGATTAATCAGATGTGCGTTAAATATCGCATGCGATTAATCGTGCAGCCCTACTATGAGGTATTGATTTCTTGATATCTTGATTTATACATTTCATTTGTCAGTTCTGTCACAAGTCAAACACCCTGTAAAAAAAAAATCTTGTTGGGAATTCCTGGTGTAATGTTGGTGAATGTGGCAGGTAGAAGCCTGTGTGACTTCACACCTCTGGCTGCAGATATTTAGAGAAAACAGCTGCTGTTTTCAGCAGAGCTGAGCAGGAACTACCTCATCGCTGAGGCCTAACAGGAAGTCTCCTCATGTCTCTCATCCCTCCGCCTCATCCGTATTGCCTCGGGTATCCTCCTCCGTCCTATTTCACACCATCAGTCTAATTGGGTGTGTGTGGCGGACGGGATAATTCCATATTCTCCTCATTGGTGCTTTCAGAAACCCTAATTGAATTTCTCTGGCATCCGCAGCCTGTTATCAGCAATCCTGCGTTTGGTGTGGCTATGGAAATGGCTTCATTTGTATGCTGACCGATGAGGTACAATATTCTTAACTGTCAAAATGGATTAATCCGGACAGCAGAGGTGAGCTTCCTCCACAAACCAGCTTTGATGGAATTTGCTTTATCACAGGTGTGGTTTCTTCAGATGGAAATGCAGATCTTTTGTGCGCCAGTGTTGGGGTCTTTCACTCTCTCTCACCCTCTCTCACTTATCACCGCTTCCCTCTCGTGATCTCTTTAATGGAAAAGTTGTCCGAGTTAATATAAACGTCAGATCGGCAGAGAGAGGAAATTTAAAGTTCTCTCTCTTCTGTTGCTTATTGTGAATGGCAGATGTACCTTCATTTGGTGTGTTTGTGGTTTCTTTCTCTTTTTTTTTTCCCTAAGTTTTTTTTTTTTTTTAACTGTATAACTCATTTATCTTTTTCCTATTTATGCCAGCGCTCTTTTTTTATGCGTCATCTTTCTTACCAGCTTCTCTCTGTATATTTACAACAAAGCATCTGTACCATTTTAAGTTTAGGAATGTGCAAAACTCCACATTTTCAAAATCGACTTGTCTAGGCGCCTGAAGCTCTACTCGGCTGATCGTCGTAAAGAAGCCCTGCATAATTAAGTGTTCCTGAGGATTTTGAATTAGCTGGTTCAGTTGTGTTTGATTAGGGTTTGAGCTGAACTTTAAAAGAAGGTATATCTCCCGGAACAGGATTGGCCTGATTTACATATGTTTTTGCATTCAAAAACAGTAGACGGAGCACAGCAGAACAGAATTTTCTCAAGTGTCTGGCAACACATTTTTGAAAGTAGGTGCTTTAAAGGGTATTAATGTAAAGACGCTTGAAACTTTTCCAGGAGGGTTTTGTGGTATAACGGGCTAGCAGCTAAAGCACAGCAAGCTGTCTGTATGTTAATAAAAGCAACACAGCTAAAATTATATCAACACACACACACACACACACACATATATATATATATAAATAAGAAGTACCAGAAAAAACAGAAATATTTTGTAACATCATAAAATCTAAAAAAAATCAAAGAATCCTGAAAAAATTAATCACCGTTTCCACAAACATATTAATATTAAATAAAGCAGCAACTGTTTTCAACATTGATAATAACAAGAAATGTTTCTTGAACAGCAAATCAGCATAAATGATTTCTGAAGGATTATGTGACACTGATGACAGGACAGTTATCAGGATTAAAGGACTATTTAAAATCTGTTATTTTTAATTATAATAATATTTTACACTATTACTGTTTTTGCTGGTTTTATTAAATAAAGGCAGCTTTGGTGCCATGCTTCTTTCTGAAACATTAAAAAAATCATACCAACCCCAAACCTTTGAAAGCTAGTATATTTTATTTAGTTGTATTGTTTAAAATTGGTCCCCCATACACCACTTGAAATTCTTCCCAGACCACCAGTTTGAGAATCTTTTGTTCTGAGGATGCTACAGGGGTTTTGTCGCTCACCCCTGTCTTTTTCTCTTTCTCTTTCTCTCATTCTTTCTCTTCCTGCCACCTGCTTCTTCACCCTGATCCATATTTCATCAGATGCATTATTGTATTGTGATCAGGGATTCATGAGAGTGTAAATCCAATAAAGCTGCGTGAACCGGTCCTCTTAGCATTTTACTGTCGCTGTATAAATTCGCACTGTTAACAGGGAGTGAGATTCAGAGAGCGCGTGTTTTGATTTGTCTTTGGCCCCACTCTGTGCATGTGTGTTTGCTGTGAAAAGAAGAAAAAACAGGCTTGGGAGGATTTGGGCCATCTTTGTTTGATCCTGATTTTTTATTTATTTTTTCCTTCTTTCAAGATGCAGAATGCTAAGTTGTATTCAGTTTGTGGTCCAGGTGTGGTGTTGGTGCTCTGGTGTCTTTAATGGTGAGGAGAGAATACAGCCAGTCTGAGAGGGCTGGCCTCTTTAATGCAGGAGTTACAGTGTAGCTGAGCAAGATGCCAATTAAATCTTTCAAGCCAATATGAGATTTACCATCCAAAAGAAACAAAAATCAAAAACAAGCCTTCAAACTGGGCCTTGGATCAACTTTAAAACAATAAGACCGAGATTTAAAGACTTCATTAAAATTAACAGAAAGTTTTGTGGCTTTCAGTCTGTGAACTTACTTTGAAGTCATAAATTTGTGGTATAATGAGAGATATATCCCATCAAAACTTGTTGCCATAGCACAAGAAAGTTAAGCCATTTCATGATTTTAAAAAATGTAGTCAGCATCAAGCTTCTCTGTCTCTTACAACCACTAAGGTTAAAGAGTGAAAATGTGCCATGTTTGTTTAAATGCTGTGATGTTTAATATGATTTGTATTAGTTGTAAGCCATCAATTTTTCAATTTTCCTGAGTAATGTTTCAGAGCCGTGGAGTTCTTCATCAGGGACAAGTATGAGAGGAAGAAGTACTACGATAAAAATACTGTCAATGGAGCAATTGTGAGTATCAACACTATCTATCTATCCATCTATTCATCCATCTATCCGTCTATCCGTCTATCTGTCTGTCTGTCTGTCTAATTATTTTTAGTTATTCATGTGTGAATTCATATAACTTCCTACAGTTTAATGAATGAAGAAGCACATCATCTAAATAAACAAACTCTCTGAAAGTGGCATTTCTCTGAGGTATTTTACTGGACTGAAGTGTAGCAGTCTGTGCGAACAAGATTGAAACTGATCTTGCAGATTTGGTTGCAGATCATGCATTTAGCAAAGTTGCAGTTTTGATTTTGTAATGCATTGCAGCATATCAAATCATAACGTATTGTGGGCCAGTTGGAAATACCCAGCTCTAGTGTTTACTGTCTATCTTATGTGTGGAAGGCCTGATTTGGTGGCCAGTTGTTCTGATCATTGATGCCTCAAATTCACATTACACAGCTTGGTGGGTTGCAGCTGTGCTTTACGTGTTGGAAATTGATTGACAGGAGCCAGCAGCCAATTAAAGCACTCTTACTTGTGTTAAATGACTTTCAGTGACTTCCTCTCTGTTCTTTAATGTTTGTGTTGACCAAATGCCACAAGGAATAGTAATTGACCATCCTTAGGGTGCCGTGCAGGTCTTAGCCTCATGATAATGCTTGAGGAGCTTAAGCAATCTAAACAAACAGCCTCCTTTTGGCCTTTTCTGATTGCTTTGGATCAGGAGAGACTGAAACATGGTTACACTGTGAAAGGTTTTCGATCAAACTCTGCAAGGCTGCCCTGTTCAATAACATTTCTCTCTCTACTTAAGCCTACCCAAGCAGAGCTCTGCCTTTCTCTGACAGGCCTGCCTGAGCCGGCCAATTAAAGCCTCTGCCTGCAGAAACAGACAGCCAATCAGATTTCAGCAGTGGTGGTCAGCAATTGACTGAGGAGTCACAAACCAGGCAAATATACAAGCAGCATTGGTCTGTGTCAAAGAAAGGATGAGAAAAGAAAGAAAAACAGTTAATTTAATTAAAATGCAGTACTAAAATGCAAAATAGTGGCGTGTTGTGCACCACACTGTAACATTGAGGCACTGCCTGAAGAAAGACTATGATTCCAGGTCGTCTTCATCCACCGACTCTGCCATATGCAAATAAATTATTAAAAACAACTCGTTATCAGTTTAAGGCATTTTGCTTTGTGTGTGGAGGGGGTCTGGATGAGAGAGAGATAGTGTATGAAGAAAAGAAAGGAATGAGAAGGTTAGTGAGAACAGTGTGAGGGAGGGATTGTTACTTGTGATGAATACAGAAGCAGATAATGATTTACAACCACTTCGTTTTGGCTCTTTGTGTGTTTAAAGAGTATTAATGTTTTAAAACAGTGATTCTCAACTGGTTTCACTCAGTGTTGTTGTTAACTAAAGCTAATACAAATTGTAATTGAAATTAAGCTGAAATAAAATCAAATATAAATATTAGATAAAAAAATATTCAAAAAATTAAATGAAAATTTGAATAGTTGCCTTGGCAATTAACTTAAAAGCATTATTAACATGAAACAGTTTTATTTTCTGTGTGTGGTTTGTTCATGTTTTTTGAGGATGAGGGCATGTTGCAGCATCTACCTCATTTGTTCAGGTTCTACAAATGATAAATACATTTACACTGAAGTACCATAGTTTGATTGGATGGTTAATTTTGATGTCCCCAACAGGTCGCCGTGATTTTGCCAAGTAAGACATGTTCCTGAATCAACATCTTTTGTTGATCCTGGATCAACATTACTGTCTAAAAATATAGACATAACCCAATCCCCACCCCTAAACCTAACCTTACCCATAAATTATTCCTAAATTGAGAGGGAAATGATAGCTGATTAACAAAGGTGTAGAAGCACCTAACCCTGATTGTAAGCCTAAAACTGACATTTCCTGAAAAGTTCAATTCTAATTGGTTGATTGGAATGATTTTCCAGGATGAACAAGGATGTTCAAGGAACATGTTGTACTTGAAGAAATCACGTTCACCCTCCCCCACTGCTTCTTCTGTGACCCTATAACAGACCTGTGACGCATTTTTGGGTCCCGACCCAACAGTTGATAGCTACTGTTTTAAACTAAATACATATATGAATTGTAGTTCTCCTCTAGTGTTTGCAGATTATGGCTGTCAAATTGATTTAATTACCTCCTGTTCCTGGCATCTGTGTTTGCCCTTGTTAATGTAGAATATCCTTATTTGAAAAAAGAAATGGTTTTCACAAAGGAGTGCAGTTATCCCTGTTCTATAGTGGTGGAGAACAGCTTACTTTAACAGTGCTCTAATATCAATTTTCCTCATCAGTATCCTGGTTTAAAAGTACAAGTTCCTGCTTTGACAAGAGGGTGCAACTCAAGCCATTATGAGTTGTGCATATTATTCTTCTTTCACCATTTATTCTGCTGACTGGAAGGTAAACAGTTAAGCAACACTAACAAAGCTTAAAATTCTTATCATTACTCACCTTTTCATTCCAAACCTGAATGAGTTTCTTTCTTCTGTGAAATACAATAGAAGTTGTCATGCTGTTTTCTTCCAAATAATTTACATTAAGCCTTTAAAGCTATCAGCAGTTATGTTTAGTTAATTTATTACATACACTACTGTTTAAAAGTTTGGGGTCTGTAAAAATTTTTAAATGTACTTATTCCTGTGATGACAAAGCTGAATTTTAAGCAGTCATTACTCCAGTCTTTAGTGTCACATGATCCTTCAGAAATCAACTTAAATCAAATCAAACTTAAATTTAATTACTATTTATTTTTAAATATAATAATCAACATTCAACTTAAAGTATGCAAACATGTAAATTGCACATAATGCAGTTTTTAAATTAAATTATAAAATTATAAATTTATAACATTTCTATTTGTTGTTGAAATGTATTCATTTATGCAGTGGCTGTCAAAGCTTGTTCCATAACAGATTTATTTACACATACATTAAATAATTAAGACATCACTAACAGGTAAAGTAAAATATGAGTATATAGTCTAATATTTCGCAAAATGCTCTTCTCTGCACTTCATTTCTTTAGCGAACTAATGAGCTGTGGACACTGATGACTTGCCTGAGTTAAATTAAATGCTATGTGACATTTTGTTTACAGCTGTTTTGTTGACGTCTTTCCATGGTTGAAATGCTGATTGAACGATTACTTGATGCATGAGATGTTCATTCATGTTTATTTCGCGTTAAAACTAGTAGTAAAGAGGAAGGGATGGTCGCGCTTTTAAGGCGTTTATACAGCGATCTGTCGCACCACATCATAGAGCATCATAACGGAATTTATTGTTTGAATTTCCTGAAAAAAATTACATAATTTGAAATGACATTTTGAACTGAAAATCCTGTACCAAAAATTTTCAGCACAAGTATGTGTACCGTTACACACCTAGTTATAATAATGAAAAATATAATAATTTGGTACTAGTATAATTTGCATTATTATTATCAATGTTGAAACGGTTTTAATATTTTTTGTGAAAACTGTTATAGGCCTATATTTTTTTCAGGAAAAGTAAGTTCAAAAGAACATTTTATTTGAAATAGAAATCTTTTGTAACATTGTCACTGCTATCACTGTTGATCTAATGCATGCTTAAAAAATTTTCTAACCTCAAACTTTTTTCTCAGCTGTGGTACTGTTTGATCACTTTCTGGTGACACAACTTGCCACAGTGATGCCTTTTAACTCTTAATCATGTGACATTGACTCTTAAGCCTAGAATGGAGGCATCTGATGGGCAGCTGGGCCAAAAAAAAAGAGAAAAGAAAAGAAATCAATAGTTGCCTGCTTCCAACCCAGGTGGAGAGAAATGCAATATTGCATCCTTTCCTTGCTTCAATTACTAAAACAAGCTCAAGAGAGTCTAACTCCCTCTCTTTCCTACTCCTTGTCTTCCTGTCTCGTGACAGTAATGAAAGTTCTGTGTGTTCTTCTGTGGCAGTAGATGGGGAATAAATGTGTCTTATTGAAAGCCTTATCGCCAGTCAGCACGCTCAAGTCATGTTCCCTCCCTGCTGATTCGCACCATTTAAATGATTGTGTGTGTGAAGCAGAAAATAAATGTCACAGGATGTTAAGCGTCCTGCACTTCCTTGTTTTGTTTTGATGTTTTCAAAACATGCTTTTCCCATTTCCAACATTTTTTTTTTTTTTTACATGCTTTTTTCATTATTTTGATCAAAGTGTTTCCGAACCGTGCAAAATGAAGGATCTCAGTGGACCGTTTTTAATATCAAGAACGGAATATATAAAAGACGAAGGGAATATGAACATCACAGGCTCAGCTCTGCTATGGTAAATGTAACTTGATTTTTTTTTTGGAAAACTGTCGGTTTCTCTATGCCACAGAACTGTCTGTATGAGTGTGAATGTGTGAATGAGATATCGGAGCATAACTAATTATAGCTTCAGCCTTCCACAGCCAGCAATTGGCCAATTGTCATACTTTTCACTGTCTCTTTTCACACTGCAGTCATCTAAGCCTCATTCAGCCCCAAGTGACCTGGCCTGCTTGGGCGTTTGCACTGTATTATGGGGCATTTAGCTGTCCGCGCCTTCTATTACTTCTCAGCTAGAAAGCTGGAGACCTTTGGACCTCACGCTGAGGCTGTTACTTCTTTGAGAGGATGGGAGTCTTTGCGCCTTCGGCTGCATTAAGATGGAGATCGGTTCTCCCTTCACACTCCGGGCTGATTGCGGTCTCTGCTTATTGACCGCCTCTCTTCATCTCCTTCTGCTTCCCGTTCTGGACTTATTTCCCCAGATGGGCTCGGTGGTATTAAAGGGATTGGGGGGAAAGAGGAGGAGTATGGCGTGGTATTATTTAATGGCTCTCTAATGAATATGGGCCCATGCTGCTGTGGAGCATAGTGCTGATGCTAACCCAATAAAAGCAGATTATGAGGGGGATCCATCAGCAGGTAATGAACCGATCCGGACAGTTCTGTGCTAACTCGGGCTATAATGGACCTACTTGTTCAGCTTGGGCCCTGTGGATGCATGCTGCTGACAGCACTGCTTCCATACTGGGACAAAAGGAAAGTCATCTGTCTTCTTGTCCCTTTTTCTTCCTGAAAACTCCCTCGTCACCGTCACCTGCTTCAGAGGAATATTCCAGGTTTAATGCAAGTTAAGCTCAACCGACAGCATTTGTGGCTTATGTTGAATATCAGAAAAATAAAAAAGGAGGTTATTGTGAGGCACCTACAATGGATGTTAATGTGGGCCAATTTTTTAGCCTTATGTCAGAAATGTGAAGCTTAAAGTATTAAAACACTGGCATTAATTTTTCTGTTAAATATGTATTATTTTATCTGTGAAGCTGTTTAAATCATTATTTTTGCAGACATTCTAAGGTTTATGACATGTAGTGAAATTTAATGTAAGGTTTCATAGGCCATGACATCATATTGTTCACATCATGTGGCTGTTCTTGAAAAACTGACAATTTGAAAGTTTAAGGATTGGCCCCATTCCCCTTCAATATCAGTGCCACACTGTAACCCAGAATAGAATTTAGAATTAGAGATTTTATTAGAATAAATGCATTCCAAATGATATTATGTTTGTATTATTTCTGCTATATTTTTAGACAGAGGAAATAAAACCATAAAACCTTTAGGTGAAGTAATGGAATCAGAATTGGTGTTTTGTGGTCCTGTCTCTATAGTAGAGCTGCTACTAATTTCTAATCTATCAATAATTATTTTGATTTAGTCAATTAATCTAACAATAATTTTTTGACAGGTGAATCTATCAGTTATTTTCTGATTAGGGGATTAATCCTTTGGTTAACCTAACAAATAATAACCATAACTTCTGCCATTAAATTGTTAATATTTTATTTAAACTATTTATCATAAAAATACTTTACAAATAAAAAAATTCCAAACATAGACAAGAAAGTGTCTAGAAGAAAGAATGACAAGGTCAAGTCAAAATTAATTTTTGTAATCAACATTATGCCACAAATGCTGTCAGTTGAGTTTAACTTGTATTGAACCCTGTATATTCCTTTTGCTTGCTCACCCATGCTGCTTTTTACTCTATTCCTCCATATCTCCCTCTTCACCTTCTTTCTCTCTGTCTGTCTGGTTTTTTTCTCTGTCTGGTTGAGATTGTGCTGTCACTTATGCCGGGTTCAGACTACACGATATTTTTGTCGGTCACGATAGTCACTGTGTCAGATTACATGATTTTGAATCCTAAAATCTTGTCATGGCGTGGACAAGAAACATGTCAGACTACACGTTGCTTCCCGACCATTCATCACGTGCCGTCTTGTCAGAGACGACGCGCGTGATGTCAGAGAAGGAGGAACTAGCGACTGACTTCTGAAAACAAGAGTGTAAACATTGTTGCAGCGCTTCCGTTATAGTTCGCCAGCATTTTTCTTTCTTTGTTCTGTCGTGGTAGTCCCTTGATGACACATCATACAGACAGGAGTACTGTTGCCACAGCTCCACGAACCTTTCCTCCATCTCATAATTCCACCTAGCAGCCATCATCTCTCTTTCATTTTGCCATGTTTGAAACCTGTGTATGAAAGAGCTTCTGTGCTGCTATTGGTCAACGTCACCAATGTGACAGAACTCGTCGTGGACGACGGAAAAAAAATTAAACATGCTAGTCTTTCTGTCGTGATGTCGTGAAGCATCGCAGACGCGGAATCTGTTGTCATCCACTATGACACACTACACGTTCTGAAACGATGGAATCTTGCGTCTCGACGCCCATTGTCGTTTACGAATCCCCACGACACCCTACATCAAGCAAATCGTGGCAAAATCGGGCTAAAATCGTGTAGTCTGAACCGGGCATTAGGCAATGATGCAGAAATGGAGTAAAAACCTTGGCCCTGACCCATCCATGCCCTCCCTTCTTGTCTTTCCTGCTCCAAGAGAAAGAGGCTTTGTGGGACTCTGTGAAGTGGCAGAGCCGTTTATCTACCCCAGAGCCAATAAAATCTGCCTAAACAAACTGCCCCAGCTAATGAAAGGGGCACAGTGAGGGGAAAGGGAAAAGGAAGAAGACGACAAAAAGAAAATGAGGGTCAATTTTGTGACTTGATCTGTATCATCCAATGCATGGTAGATATTAGTGCTGGGCGGTATACCGGTTCATACCGAATACCGGTGTTTATTTTTCTTATGATATGAATTTTTAAAATACCGCAATACCGGTGTCGTTTAAATAATGTTCGGAATGCGTTTGAGGGGTGGGGGGAGGGTCTCTTTTCACTGTTGCACTGTGGCGAGGACACAGCTGTATGTGTTACTAAGCGTGAAAGTTCCAAAACTGAAGCTGTAGAACTAGTAGAACGTGATGACACAGAAGAACTCATCCACAATATCCACATTGACCTCCACAAATATCCACCGCCCCCTGCCATCAGCTCCCGCGTCTCACACACACGAGTGCGACTTTAGCACTAGATTTAGCAACCTTCAGACGCTTTTAGCCGCTTTTTTCCATAGAATATATATACTGACAAACCTAGCGACTTGATTCAGTTGGAAGATGTCGCCAGTGCTGCCCCGCGAGCGCGAGGTCTGACTCTCCCGGCGCAGTGTCGTCTCTCTCGGCGTCTGTTCTGTGCAGTGAGCGGCAGAGAAGCAGTGCATTCAGCTGGACGTACCGCAGCCAACTCGTCAATAAATGAGTACAAAACAGCGTTTCCAAGCACCTGTCACTTACTGACTGTTTGGAATTATAAATATGAGCATAGTTTTCTTCTATTAATATAATGCAATTTTTTATTTTTTTGTAACTCAATAAAAACTGGAAGTTTTTTCATCACTCTTTTACATTTTCTGAATACAGTGACCAAAAAAAGTGCGCTGCATGAGACAAAAAAAGTAATATAGCCAAAGCCACCGCATAGCCGCTCAACATGCATCTACTGTACACATGCATGTTGATTTTATCAGACGATGTCGCGATTATAAATGAGAGTGACTCCTGGTTAACATGTATAAATGGGTCGTGTTTCGTCACTATTTAGTGTGGTATTTTTCTACAATATTCACTCATCATGACAGTAAAATAGGGCATTCTAAGTCAGTCTACTGCAGTAGCCTATTTCCTCTCTCAATCAGTAGAAAATGTGGTTTACACCTGGTCATGCATGGAAAAAATAAATACGTCATATACCGTGAAACCGGTATAACTTTGAAAAATACCGTGATATTAATTTGTGGTCATACCGCCCACCACTAGTAGATATAACAGGTGCCTTTGAATTACCAGAAAACACTTTTTTTGGTCACTGAGTGATGAAAAAACTTCCAGTTTTTATTTTGTCTTTAACAAGTATCACAGACCTGTACAGCTACATATTTGTTCCTAAGTGCACATGTCTGTCTCTGCAGTGTTTATTTGTTTATACATGTACATTGCAGGGAATAAGATTCATGCTGAGAGTACATATGGAGTTTTTTTCCTCAACCAATCCAGTGTTTTGGTATTTCACACAACATCAATCATAGGAAGTTTGTGCGTAATTAGAGAGGAACTGTATTTTCAGCATTTGTCTTCAGCATTCCATCTTCAGGATTGCACACTGAAGCTGCTGTTGCAATCGATATAACACTAAAGTGGACTCAAAACATGACTTAATTATGAGTCGAAAGGCATCACTTGTTAGCTTGCAGTTCTCACACACCTTGTTGAACATCAGCTGCTATGCCTTTTTGTTCTTTTTGCTTTGATAACTAGACTGCGGCAATATGGGATTTTGAATGGTTTTCATATCCCTGTTCAAATCACAATAGCTTTTCAAAATAAAAAGGATTTTTTCATCACAGTTATGCAGTCCTTTATGCAAGCAGCAATTGAACCACTTTAGGTGTTTTGTCATATCACAAACGATGCCCTTCTACCCTCCAACAATACAATTCTTAATGAAATTGAAAATAGAAATCCATACTATTGAACTTGGCTGAGCTTTTATATACACATATGTAAATGTATATGAGCAAGCTTTTCAAACATCTCCATCTGATTGATGCAGTTATTTGTGGTGTCTACACTTGTGAGTTAATTCTATTGATTTGAGGCAGTATTGGCCATGCAGATTGACAAACTCTTGACTACAGATTCGGCAGATGGTCTCACTTCTTACATCTTCTGGAACATCTGGAGAAGTCTGGGCTATTTTTACCCACCAAATGTGTCCTTGATGATAGATGCGACTGCTGATATTGCAACTAAACCAAGATACATGGGTCCTCTTCCTGATGTGTATATTTTTGCAACCAATTATTGTCTTGTTTTACTGTTAAAATATCTATGCATCCTTTTAAACAGGATATATTCACTTTGAGAAGTAGTTATTTCTAAAAAAAATATATATATATGTATATATATCTTGAATTAAGTTCTTACACCATTGGCAAGAAAATGTTTTGCTTTTTATGCTGTTTAAATGAGAAAATAATGCCAATGGGCTAACAAAAATAAACTTAATTTTCAAGATATATTCTCTGAAAACAAGTTTTAATATCTTAAGCAATTTTGCTTCACAAGTGGATTTGTTTTAACAGTGTTTCAATATTTTTTACTAAAAAGCCGGCAGAAATACTGATTTATAAAATTGTGTTTTTGCAGTGTTTGAGATGTGTGTGAATGTATCAGTATATAAATGTTGCTTTTCCCAGTTTCCCACAGGCTGAATCATTATTCACTGTATAGTGATCACTGCAGCCTATTAATTCTGATTTCTCTTCTTCCGCTTTTTTTCCCTCCACACCCCCTCTTTATCTCTTTCTCATTCTATTTCAATTTTTCTCTTTTACCCTCTCGTCCTCTCTCTCTCTCTCTCTCTCTCTCTCTCTCCCTCTCTCCCTCTCTCCCTCTCTCCCTCTCCTCTGCCCCTGCAGAAGTCCTCTGATGCTGCTTTGCCCTCAGTATCATCCCCTTCTTCGCAAGCAGCTGAGAAAAGCAAACTGGAGGTACTGTAGCACTGTGCTTCTCTGTGCTGTGCGGTTCACTGATCTTGGTGCTGTGCTGTACTTGTGCTGTGCATTCTCTAGGCTGCATCCCAATTTGCATACTTTCCATCCTAAATAGTAGTTTAGAATGATTCCATTTCAAATAATATTATGTTAAAAATATGCCAAACATGTCCAAATTGCATACTATTGCTGCTACATTTCCAGCCATAAAAACTAAATGTGAAATAATAAGAAATTATTTTATTTTTTTTATAAAAAAAATTATTTTTATAACTTAATGCAATCAAAATTGGGGTTATGTGGCCTTTAGTCCCTGTTTAGCTATAATCAGAAAAAAAAAATATTGAAATTGTACTTAAATCTATTAGCAATAATAAAAAAAAGGTTAACCCCTTTAATATGTGCAATCAAGATGCAATTTTATGAGGTGGTAGTTTATCACAGTACTGTTGTACTGTCTTAATACACCAAATGCACTTTCACATCACTAACAAAGTAGTATGCAAATTGGGACAGACCTCTGTGTGTTGTTAATCAATCACTGAATCCATTTTCTATGATATAATGTGTTATGCAATCTCTGCACCGGCACAAATGTCCATGCATCTGAAGCTGGGTTCATGCTGGTTAGTGCTAGACAAGCGCATTTTAGCTCGTCAAGTTGGACAACTGGCATGTTTGGTCAAGTCTGGTGGGGGCAAACAACAACAACTATTATTATTATTAGTAGTAGTAGTAGTAGCAGTAGTATTATTATTATTATTATTATTATCCATTAATCATTTATGTATCTGTTTAACAAGATAAAATTTAATTTTGCTTTTTAAAATATTGTGATATCCTGCTTAATATAAATTCAAATATAAATAAAAAATTTAGTATACAACAAAAGAGCAATGATATACAAGTGCTATAACAAGTCTCAGTTAGCTTAATGCAGTACACGTAGCAAGGGTTTTTAAAATCATATAGGCTAATAAATAAAAAGAAAACAGATAGAATAGAAAAAGAATAGAGTATATATAAATTATATATAATTATTATATATAATTATATATTAAAATTAAAATTATAATTATAATATATAAAATAAAGTCATATATACTTTTTTTATTTCCTGCATAATCTATTTGTAAAATGAAGTGTGTAAAATGGATGTAATTGCACCAGTCAGAACTGTCTGACTATTGACAGTTTTGGCAACAGATTATTAAACCGCCTGTAAGAACGTTAATTTAAACTAAACAAAGGGCAAGGAGAGAGAACCTATAGAAGTCACACTGACGAGTTTACATTCATTGTTGAAAAGTGTTGTGGTTGTGTTTGAGTGTATGCGTGGAGTCTGTTGCCTCTGTGCTCTGCTGTGGAAAGGAATCGATAGCACAGCTCTGTCAGCATCAGATATCATGCTCGATATCAAGGCCAATCCTTTATGATGCATTTGTTTGGCTTTGCCATAGTGATGGGAGTTTTAAATGGTGTACTTTGTTAAAGGGCACCTATCATGCCCATTTATACAAGATGTAATATTGGTCTTTGGTGTCCCCAGAATGTGTGTGTGAAGTTTCAGCTCAAAATACCCCACACATCATTTAATATAACGTCTGGAAAATGTCATTTTTGAGGCGTGTCAAAAAGAGAGCTGTTTTGGTGTGTATCACTTGAAATGCAAATGAGCTGCATATTCCTGTCCCGTCTCCAGAATAGGGCGTAGCATCAGGCCCGTAGCCAGCTATGAGGTCACCGAGGTCCGAACCTCGGTACATTTTTCATGTTCAAAAATTAAATTTGTTCTCTAAATGACTCATTTGCTGTTTAAAACTCCTCATATGAATGCCTGCATGCATGTATAATTAAGTTTAGACAGTTTGCAAGAATGTTTATCGTCTGTCGTCCATCGTATGAAAATGATCGCTGCGAGACGCTGCCGGAGTGAAAGAGTCTTGAGAGAGTCTTGAGTGAGGGCGCGGGTGCAGCTGTTGCAGGTCCATCTATTATAAGCGTTTTTGGACTTGTCTTTTCCACTTAATTTGACACTTTAAAGTTAATCAAGTGGGAAGTTGCAGTTTAGGGTCAGCGATATCTTGGTTATCTTATTTACAAAGATTTGAAATAATTTCGGTTTAATTTATTTATTTGTCGGTTTTTGATTTGTTTTTATAGCAATATCTGGCAACACTACATCGCCTGCACTTAAACTGACAGTAATCAAAAAAGCCCTTGGACAGGTTATTATTGCTGACAGGATAGCACTTTCGGTAAGGCAAATGCAAAATCATCACAAAAATATCATGATATTATCTGTCAGAAACATTATCAACACTGTCAAAAACCTTTTTAACACTAATACACAGATATGTAGAACAAGTAAGTTACAGAAGGAAATGCTAAAAACATCCATAAAAGCACTAGACAAAGTTATCATCTTTATAGCAATGATTATTAATGAAAACTATAACAGTAATATGTATTGTTGCATGATTAATGAACAACTGATAAAATTATCCACCCCGAACCTATAGTAAAATATTAACTATTTTTGATGCAATAAATATGGTATAATTTATCAATGTTCATCCCTCCAAAACAGAGAAAACATCTTTCACAAACATCTACATCTCTGTCTCTTTTAAAGTGTTGGTGTATATAATGAGTTGTATTTGTAGGGGTTATTTTAGCACAATTCTTAACCCCACCCCAGACCTCACTAATTTTCAAACCCTGGCTACGGTGGCCATGTGCAGTGTATACGTCTTTCTGCATTGCATACTGCAATAAACAGCTGGTAGAAGCAACATGACTGATAGCGAGAGAACCGGAGTTCAGCCGTACATATGGGAAGCCAAATGCACTGAAAGTGGGACAAAGCAGTGTGACGTTACAGAGCTCGCACCCTGTCATCGGCTTATATAAAATACACAAACTAATCTCACACTTAAAATACTTTGATAATGTACGCACTAGGGATGGGCATTCCAAGCACGGAAATTTTAAGACAATAATCGCACAACCTATTCGATATTCTATAATTAAATCAACTAATGGAATATTCGAAAATCGTGACCCATCCCTAGTACGCATACAAAAACGGTTAAAACGCTAAGCACTATAATGACATGACATTCACAAAGCAGTCTGGATTGAAATGATTTGTGCAGACATAAACGTATTTAGGTAGATTTTGAGGTGCATTACCTTGAAAAATAGAAGTAATCCAATCCTTCAGTGGCTCAGATGTTGGGAGAAAATGCAGACTCTATGTTCAGTCTTATATCCAAACACAGAACACCGGGATTGCTTACGAGACATTGTTGACGTTACAGCTGCTCAAGAGCAGAGAAAATGGAGGACAGCGTACAACTGCTGAGGGTGGAAACTATGACAATGCAGAGCTGTCAATCAGCCGCCGTGGCCCGGCCCTATGCAGTGTGATGTCACACTGCTTAGAAAATCAAAACGGCAGGCCTAGTGAGACTGATTTGGTTTAATGGAGATTAAAAAATAAGGAGTGTGGGTGGATTTTTATTCTGAAATATGAAATATTATCTCTGAAGAAAGCAAAAAAATGTTCATAAAATATATTATATATATATCAATATATTTATGATAGATAAAATGCTAACTTTGAAATGATCCTTAGCAAGATAAAATATTCTTCTATTTAATTTTACATTTTTAACATAGAATTTTCACCACTGTCATTTCAACTACAAGAATTGTATTAAAAACAGTACATATTTAGAGATGTGGTGAAATTGACAGTGTTAAAATCAAATGTCAAAATGACAGAATTCTTCCGCAGTGTGCCCATAGTTGAAGAAACCGATTTTGTGTGTGTGTGTGTGTGTGTGTGTGTGTGTGTGTGTGTGTGTGTGTGTGTGTGTGTGTGTTTTAAGCTGTGGTAGCCATATTTAAGCTGTCAAAGTACAGGCCTCAAGGCAAAACTGCAAGCCTTGTGCCCTAAAGACACCTCAGACTTGTAGCTGACTCAACATTTTTTTTTTCTTCTTCAATTTCTTGTGTGTGTGCAAACTCTTAAATGTGTTTTCCTGATTCTGACACAGAAGGAGAGAGAGAGGAAAAAGGAGGAGAAGAAGAGGGAAAAAGACACAGATAAAGGGAACAAGCCAGCAGTTTTTGAGAAGGTAATTGACCTCATTACTGACCAAATAGATTGGAGACATTACCCTTTTTAATAAGTGCTGTGTTTATGAATCAATTGAAGACATTCTGTTTGGAGAACTTCAGGTGCTTGTTGCTGGACCATAAGGGAAATTCTTTACAAATATTTTTGCTGTATTTTTCTTTCAAGTTCTCGTGTTTGTAACAAATCTGAGATTTCAAGAATCACATAAGCCAGACAGTGTTCAGTGACCATAAGGAAGATCACAGTCCTGTTTCTCCTGTGAAATCAAATACCCTGAGCACTGGAGTTTAATTTGTCTTGCATATTCATACATCTCTTTGCAGAAAATTAGAATCTCTAAGTTCGTTTTAATTAAAAACCTCACGGGAGATTGTGTATTGATGGTGGACCGAATGTCAGATAGTTGAGAAACTTTATGCAAATAAGGATGATACAGACATGTTTCTGGTGGATTCTGTGCTGAAATCACATTAACACGTTACTATCATTACTATTATATAATTCAGATTTCAAATTCATTTAGCACATTTTCATTGTGGCTAGAATGTGGTCAGTTTGTTACACTGATACTGTAGGGCTGGGATTTTCAGATTATTATAGTGTCATTCTGCTTTCAAAAAAGATGAGATTAATCATGATTTTATTCTGTTGACAGATTTTAACATTTAGAAGTAAACATCTGCATATAGTTTTGAGTTTACTTTTTGAGGTTGGACAGGTTAGTTGCATGTTTTTGAAAGAAGACTTCTATGATTACTAAACTTACTTTATTTGATCAAAATGCAGTAAAAATGGTAATAATGTGAAAAGTTGTTAAGTTATTTAAAATAACTGTTTTCTCTTTTAATATATTTTCAAATATAAATTATTGCTTTGATGTCAAAGCTGCTCAAGAATCATTATCAATGTTGAAAATTTTAATATTAGTATATATTACTTTTTTATTAATATATAACACTAATATTTTTGTGAAAACTTTGTAGCATTTTTTTCAGGATTCTTTAAATGTAAACTTCAAAAGAACTGCATTTATTTGAAATATTTTTTAAAAGTCTTTACTGTCACATGTAAAAACAAAATCTTTCTTTCTTTTGACAAATATATGTAGATTTTCTGATTTGAATTTATTTCGTACTGAATACCACAACTATTTTAGAATAACAATCAAAACGTGTATAAGATTAACACCATACAGAAATAAAGTTTGCATTATTTCAACTATAATCTAGCACATATACGATGACTTTGAGCATGTATTAAACGCAATCATAGTCCGCACGGAAACAGCCACACTGCTGTTCATTTTACCGACAAAGCCCCAGAGCATCTGATCGCTAGCGCTTTGAGCGGTATCGAGCAGGTTTCTTCCACGCCAGTGGACACTTGGGGTAACAGATATTACAGGCTTGACTTCATCTCTCTGTACTGCAGAGATGTTGAACAAACACGTAGATGTGCTGAATTAGCCACAGCAGCAATAATTTAAATTTTGCGTCTAGTCGACATTGCACATTCACAACTCTGCAGCACAAGAAAAAAAGCCCTGAACAGGCATCTTACATTTGTACTTGTGTAACGATCCGCTCACTTCAGGCATCTTGCTTTCCTTCAGGCTACACTTCATAACCACACACAGTCACACACACCTTCCCCTCCCCTGAAGCACAGTTTAGGGTCATCTGGGATCGTAACGCAGAAAACAAATGCCAAAAAAAGGCATTCAAAATTGCTGTGTGTCGTGTGTGAGAGAAAAGAGAGTGTGCTGCATGTGGGAATGTGTATTATTGTAATCTAGCTGTCAGAGAGCACAATGGAGGTATTTGATTGACAGGCGAGAGGATGAGAATGGGTGGCCCTGAGTGAGAGTGGAGAAGGAGTCACAGAGAGGGCACAGTGCTGCATTTTTTTCTTCAGTGGTGTCTCACATTTTCTGTTATTCTTTTACTCTCTGCATAGCTTCTTATTCTTCATGCTCTGTTGTCCTGCACAAGTGGTTCTCAACTAGCTTTGCTTCAGGATTTTACATTGGGCATACACTGGCAACCCACTAGCATATAAAATAGGAAAATGCAAAACTATTTGATAGGTTGCCTGAATGATTAGTTAACTGGTTGTCTTAAATATGCTGGTTTGCAGCATAGTATGGTGTGCAGCAAGGGTTCCGTATGTGTCCCTTTCATTTTCTCCATGAAGGAATTGAATTAATGGTAACTTATAAACCTTTAAAGTCAAACCTATTGTGAGCTTACAAGGTTGTTAATTGATGCTTTTTTTTTTAAGCCATCAGCATGCATTATTTCTAGGGCTGCACGATAAATCGCATGCAATTGTCATGCGCATCTTGTCAGTAAAGCCGGTTTTAGTAGTAAATCTCCATCACATGCGTTCAGATGGAGCGGCATTTACTACACAGAGCCGTAGTTGACTGACAAGCTACGCAATATCGCGTTCATAATCGCAGATGAATTGCCTGCGATAATGAACGCGATATTGCGTAGCTTGTCAGTGAACTACGGCTCTGTGTAGTAAATGCCGCTCCATCTGAACGCACGTGATGGAGATTTACTACTAATCACAGAACTGGCTTTACTGAAGAGATGCGCATGACAATTGCATGCGATTTATCGTGATATTTCAACTTAGTTTTTAAATAATCATGTAAGAAGTGGTATTCATGATGAAAAACTCCACTAATCAAAGAATCACAGTGAGCGAATCACACCAAAATAACCTTATTGCGCCCAACGACTCGCATGGAAATATATTGTTTATAATCAAAAACTGTAAATCAGTAGTTTTATTTGTCTATTGTTATTTATGTCATTTACAGTGCTTAATGTGTTCATAATTATTTACTTCATTAAAGCCCTCTTGTACCTAAAAAGTGCACTGTCTTGTATCTTTTTTATCTCTTTAATGAAGAAAATCGAATTAAACACAAAATGCCCTATGTGAAAAATTGTTCAGTAACCAAAGCCATTGAAAAAGTGGTCAGCACTGTTGCACTATTGATTTTATAAAATGGCAGCAACAGTAGTATTACATATTCGAGAACATGTTCAATATATTATTACTAATAATCAGAATAAACTAGGGATGCACGATATTGGATTTTGCCGATATCCGATATGCTGATAATTTTCAACTCATTTTGGCCAATAACCGATACCGATACCTATATATAATTATTTTTAATTTTGGTTAGTTTTTAACAAGAACTTATTTGTTAGAATTAAATAAACAATAATAAAGTTATTTTATAATGACAGTAAATTTAAAATGTGAAAATAACTATAAATAAAATATATATTAATTATTAATTAATTAATTAATTATTATTAGCTTCTGACCTTTCAATCAAAACATACTCATGATTTACTGTTTACTCTATCACACACCGAACGCATCATTCTGTAAGTGCATTCTCAGTTTAAATGCAGCGATCCAAAGCAATGAATCCAATCACCATTCAGGCAAAACTTTGCTTCAAGAATGAGCCACAATGCTGACGTGATCTAATCGCTAGCACACCCTGAGCACATGTGAGTTAATGTATTCCTCTTATCGGCAATACATATCGGCATAATTTTTCATATCAGGCCGATGCCGATATTTATATTAAAGCCATTATCGGCCGATTCCGATATTGGTCTGATAATATCGTGCATCCCTAGAATAAACAATTCTTCCATCAAGTAACATAGTTTATTACATTAACTGTAGGCTGTTTGTTTGCCAAAAAACTTATTGCAACTCTGCACATTAATAAGCAGAAGTGTGTTTTTCCCAACAGTCTAACACACAGAACAAAAATTAGGCAGTGTATTGTATTGTTATTAGCCGAATTACAGTGACCGATAAACTACACCAAAATACTGAAGAGTTTGGTTAGATGCACAGCCTTTAAAGTCAGCTATGGATATGGCAAACATTTTCTCTTCCTTTTTTAAAAGTTGTTTATTTTGCTATCCTGTCTATGTTACATTACATGATTAGTTGCATTTACCTTTAACATTACACCTTCCCTGCTTTCAGAACAAGCCGCAACTTGTTTTTGGCTCACATACCAATGGTCCACTATCCCATGCTCTTGACATTTCTGTCTCAACTATGTGTGGTTGTACAGTATGAAGTTTGAATTGTTGGTCACAGTGGAGAAGATTAAAAAATGCAGTGGCCTTTGAAAGTCCAGCTGCAATCTCTCTGTTTTCTGCTCCACTGAGTCAAGAATATTCACGGTCTTTGTAACTCCAGAAAGACGACTAAGCTTTAAGGGAGGCAGAGTTAGCACTGCATGGGCACCTTCTGTTCTAGCGCAGTCTCGCGCCGTTCCCGGAGAGACTGGGATGAGATGAAGGGATAAGAATGAAAAATTAAGGAAAGGAGGGAGAGATCCTAACAGGGCAGTTCAGCACCTTTATGCCTTTGGGGCTGGTGCCTGTTGCCATACGTGACAGCTCATGTGTGCACATCCACACACACAAAACCAGCGCACTGATGTAGAACAAACCGCATTCAGTTGGCTGTAGAATATAGTCCATCTGTATGCTGTAACAAACCAATATGAACAGTTTGGTTTAAAACTGAGGTACCAAAGGCTCATGCTGCATCAATACCGATACCATAGGCCTGAGGTTTTCTAATGCCCCAACCCCACAAATCTCATCAAATGTCTGTGTTGTTTATTTTATTTGTCATTGTTCTAAAGCGAAATAAGTTACTAACAAGTTGTAACTTTTTAACACTTAAATAAGTTATGTGTATATATATATATATATATATATATATATATATATGTATATATATATATATGTATATGTATGTATATAATACACACATTTAAGTGTTAATGAAAGTAATATTTTTCTCACACAGTTTCATTCTGCTGTAAAGATCCATCAGAAACCATGAGATTTAATCAGTTTTATTTTGACTGCAATATATTTTAACAGTAAAAAATATTAAATATGTACATCATTTTATGAAAAAAATTTGTTT